GTTAACGACAAAGTAAGATTTACCGGAACTGGAGGGTCCGGAAACTATGCAAGAAAATGGATGTGAGAGTCTAGGCTCCATTTTTTGAACTGAAGAGAAAGACACCAGGGCTTGTGTTTTTGTAGGCTACATTTTAAAGGTTCATAAGTTAATGAGTCAAATTTAATGATAAAGTTGGGTATTGTGGCGGTTAGGCGTCGCAGAGCGCCAGAGTGCGCTGTGAAAGCGACTCTTATGTACGTATTTAATGCTAAATCGGAAAGAAGTTACAAAAATAGAACATGCAAAACAAGTGAGATTTTCGTTTTCTTTTTTTTTTATCAATTCTTCTCTGTATTATTCTTTCTTTTTCCAAATTCTAATTTATGGATGTACAAAAGATATACACTGATAATACACTTACAATCAAACAGAGTAAAAAACTTAATAAAATATGAATTACGGTTAACACGCAACGCGATCTTAAATGGTAGCGTCTGTAATGAGTTCACTAATATCAAATCGCCGAGTATATCATCACAAATAGGTCACATCGATCAGAAAAGTAACCACAAATAGAAAATAGACACATTCAAATCATTAAAAAAATTATAAAAAAAAAAAATTAATTATTAGTTTATTTACCTCGCAAGCTAAGCTGACCATATCTTTGCTAAAATTAACAATGTAAAACTGAATTAAATCAAAAGGAACCAGGGAATACGTGAACCCCATACGCATAGTTTCTTTTGACTTCACTTCATTTCTACCTGGTTCCTTAATGTGTAAAGTAGATACCTCTATTTTCACGCGTGGGACTTCCGTATTGCATACCTTTTCGATTGAAGGCTAATATTATACGTCAAATTGAAAGGTCTAGTTTGATCCGTGGGCGTGCGTGTTGCATACTCGTTTGAATTTAAGGCTAATCTCATTCCTCAAATTACTGCAATTTCGAGAAAAAAAAGGGGGGAAAAATGAAAAAAGAATCAATTATCATCATTTTAAAATCTGAGATGTAATATTTAAAACATCTCTCAAGATTTAAGCAGTTTCTTTTTTGTTTCTTTCAATTTATTATTATTTTAACACTTTATTTTATCCCTTGTCAAAGCACCGGCGGAGGCTGGCGCTGCGTCGCCGTCCCTGTATGACGATGCACCTCATTGTCATATTGTCAAAGCACCAGCGGCGGCGGCGGCTAGCGATGTGACGCTGCCCGAGTAAGACGCCGCATTGTCAATCAGCGATATTCATACCTGGATCACCGTGAGTTATGATTTCCGGGAACCCTTGCCCTCCACGTTGAACAAATGACCATTGTGCGACCACATGCCAGGCGCCAACTCATTTGCCCGTCACCAACCCTTCCTCACCACTGAGCGAAAATCCATACCTATAAACGTGACCCTACTACTGTCAACACGGCGTCGCCTTGAATTTAGGAAACGTTATTTTCAGTGTAGTATCTTCTGAATTGAAGGGGCTATGTAATTTTGTGTTGACATCTCTTTTTTAACATTTTTAATTATTTTCTTTGCATACAAGAAAGCTGTTATGTACCAATTATTTATTTTCGTTGGATTATATATGGTTTTCGGAAGTTAACGCATTGAAGTTTCAGGTTCGCTTTTTCGGCGTAAAGTATACGTAAGGTGTCCCAAAAGCACCGGGACTTGTTCTGTAACTTCAAAAGTAAGATAGATACAGACATGATCTTGATCTCATTTTAAAGATCAACTCAATACCTATCGATTAAAACCAAGATCAGCTCAATCGGATAAAAATCGACCGAGTTATGGCAATTTGAAATCAGCGAGGAAAGTTTACGCCTACGGTTTTTAAGGAAAATTCTTCATCGCCGTAAATCGAAAAGTCGTCCGATAAAGTGATGCAAATTGTGTTTTTTTATTTTCGAGGTGTCATTTATCAACATCTTGTACCATCAAACACAACAGTTGACAGTGCGTATTATTGCAAAGTACTAAAGGAGTTGAGAATGCACATTTCCCGGAAACGGTCGGACTTGAAAGCTTCGTGGATACTCCATCAAGACAATGCGCGGCCTCACACATCGAGCTTAACACGTGAATTTATGAGTAAAAATGGAGTTGAAACAATCCCTCATCCCCCTTATAGCGCTGACTTGGCTCCATGTGATTTTCGGATGTTTCCTACGCTTAAAAAGGAGCTTCGCGGACGAAGATTCGTATCGAAGACCGAAATCCAGAATGCAATTCAAAACTTCTTCAACTCCATCCCAGAGGAAGAATTCAGGAAAACAATGTTGGAAAAGTGGCAAGAGCGCATGAAAAATTGCATCCGGTTTGATGGACGGTACTTTGAATAGCAAAAGGAAGTTATGGAAGATTCGGAGGAAAGTGGATACGAATATTAACTTTTTGAATCCTGGTAAGCGAAAAATCTTCCTAAAAACCGTAGGGGTAAACTTTCCTCACTAATTTCAAATTGTCATGACTCGGTCAATTTTTATTCGATTGAGCTGATCTTGGTTTTAATCGATAGGTATTGGGTTGATCTTTAAAATGAGACCAAAACCATGTCCGTATCTATCTTACTTTTGATGTTACAGAACCAGTCCCGGTACTTTTGGGACACCCTACGTATGATATTTTTACTCTACACATATGCCCGAATACGCATCATAAGGGACCTATGTGCTTCCTAAGTTGCCAAGTATTAATTATTGTTAGATGATTGGTCTAAAACATTCAATACAACCAGTAAAAATTAGCTGTCCCCTACGAGATTCGAACCCCCGCTCGCACAAAAAGTGACATTTTCCCATAGTCAGAAGAGTGTCGTAGCTAACTGAGCTACCTCGCCACTCAGATATGGTAAGGGAAAAAGAGAACAGTTAAGTGATCTCGGACGCTGAGCGGGGCTTCACAAAAGACGTCCCTGAGATTTCAACGGTTCGGCCACTGGCGTGATAAGGAGACAACGGATTAAGCGCATTACTCTGTGAGACATTGTTTACCTATGCTGTCATGTGTCACAAGGTTCATATCAGCATGCATTTGCGATCGCGGCAGTAAACTGAGGCAATATTTCTGTATTTATGGATTAAATCCATCAATCGAGTTCTGATTTTGGCTCATATATCCGTAACGGGTCCTCCAGAGCAATTTTCCACCTTGTACGATGGTTATTATTTCTTTATATCTATGTTTAAAATTTGAGGTGGGATAATGGCGGCTTCTCAAGAGCAACGAGGTAGGCGATCTTTTGCACCAACGAACAGAAAACTGATGGCGAAAAATAACCAATCGGAACCTCCCAAAAAAAAGAATTTGCCAAAAAGCGGAACTTCGTGGTTCTGCGCAGATTTATTAGTCAGACACGACATCTCAAGGTGGAAAAAAACTCGCGAATTTTAGAAATCAACACAACTTGACGTAGAGACATGATTGGCTAAAAAATACAACGGTTTTTGATACATCGGAAAATCAACCAAAAATCGAAGACTGGGCGAAACGCTCAAGGTCGCAGAGGCATAGGGAATCACATAGCAATAGCAACGGAACGATTGTAAAGACAGGGGAACTCCGTTCCCATGCCAAAATTCCACTGTGATATTTACAGTAGCATCACTCTCCTTTTATCGGCATATCCTCATCATCAGTCTTATCGCCAGCGGTATCTTTAACCGATGTCTTTTCCCTCTGAAAATAGTGTCTGCTGATTCTATACTTACTTTAGTAACCGTTTCTTGAACACTTATGCTTACAGAATGTGTACGGAAGAAAGTGTGGCGCCTGTTGGGCTTTTGCAGTCCTCGCTGCTATAGAGATTCTCTTGACTAGAGTTCAAGGCTATTTAACTTTACTCTCGAAGCAAGGTAAGTCCATAAGACCAATGCTTGTCAATGATTGAACTCCGTTACCGCACTCAAAATTTTAGTTCCTCACCCATTGGACGAGGTTTGAAGGAAAAGAACGTTGTTTCATCATGGGACCGTGTTATAACAGGGCAGACTCATTAAAATCGCCCGAAATGAACTCGTAATTTACTCTAATTATGCACAGTTTGAAGTATTTATTTTCCCAGTTTTAATACAAATTTAGTTCATCTAATAATTAAAAAAAAAATTCAACTTGAAGCCGTTACTATATGAAAAGTTGATACTAGGAACGTCAAAGGTTAGTAATAACCACTACACTCTTACCCGCTTCGCGCGGTTCTCTGTATAAGTAATTTATTGAAGAATACAAAGAACACGAATTATTCTTACTATATTAACAAAATACAAAAAACCAGAAATTCTACCTTTATCTTCGTATTTTCTTCGTGTTTTCCCTCTCTTCACTCACATCTACTTCTTTCACTCCTTTCTTGCCCCGTCCTTTAAACCTCCTCTTGTTTCTCTTCTTCTTCGACCTCATCTCTTTTCTCATCCTCTTCCTCTTTTTTCCCCCTCACTCATCTTCTTCTTCTTTCAATTTCTACAGCACTTCCATGTAACATTATATGTATATCAGGAGTCCTGTGCTGTTGCACCTAAAATGTATTTTTTCAAAACACTACTAATTACTTCCAACCAGTTGCACCTTTGCACCGCCAATTGCTTTGCTCTTTAACTAAAAGCAGCTTCACTGCATTTTTAAGTACCTGATTTCCTATTCAGTTTTATTTTCTTAGCATGAAGCCATATAACTTAATACCTTGTGAATGTCTGTGAATTTTTTCGAGATAACATAAAAAATACTCACAAACCTTTAAAGTATATTTCTATTGAGAAAAGAAAACACGAGAAAAAAATCTGGCACAATCTGATGTAGTTATTCTTAACCTAATTGAATTTGGCCGATTTGACGTATCGAATACGATCCATGATGTCATAAAAAATGACGTAAATTAATGAAAGTGCGGGAATGTCAACAGCATTGATCCAATGTGTCCAATTTGATGTATCGAATAGGATCCATAGCATCATAAAAAATTAATAAATTATGAAAGTGCGGGAATGTCAACAGCATTGATCGACTGCGTTACAAAGAACGATGGCTGTGATGGTGGTGACATGGGCGACGCCCTTGACCACATAATAGAGAAAGGTGTCCCGAGTGCCGCTGCCTACCCGTATGCCGGAAGGAAAGGGACTTGCAGGGGATACATAAAGGCGTACATGAAGATCCACTACTACACTCCTTTCGAGAATGCAACACCGGAGGAAATTGAAGGGCATTTGAAACACAGTCCGCTACCATCGGTTCTCTACTCTCCGAGAGAGCTACAGGTAGGGACGATTTTTTTTTGGCCAAAATAATTCCTCCATCTAGACTCTAGAGTACCTGAACACGGGAGAGTTTTGCCATCTCTGTGCCGCTCTCTGGTTGGTTCATCAATTTTAAGCTATCATGGAGCTCCAAAGTTGTCGGCCTCCTATGCTACCGTGTTAAGGAAGAACGCCGTATGAACATTCGAGTGTTGCCAAATTTCCTTCGATAAAATGTTCATTTTCTAGGAAAGTTTTCTAGGAAATATTTCTCCTTAAAATTTTTAGAATCCTTAGGTAAAATGGAGAACTGAATTATCTGGAAAATTGGGAGGAAAATATTCATAAATTTACCAGGAAAATCGCGTTTTATGAAAGGAAATTTGGCAACGCCTGAATGTTTATACCGCGTTTTTCCTTAGCATGGCAGTATGGTGTAGTGCTTGTAGCACTAGTTCTATGATAGGGAGGTCCCGGGTTCGATTCCCGGCCAGGCAACTCGAGTTTGATGGTCTAAAACAATGATTGCCTGGGACTGGTTGTAGGGACGGAGGGGGGAGGAGACCAAAGCGTAAGGATTAGCCCTAGTGGACTATTTGAAGTAGAAATAAAGAAAAAAAAAATTGTACCAATGTAAACAAACTCGACTCAGAGAAACACGTATTATCGGCTGAGAAATGAATGATAATCACACTCAAAACTTAATTTTCGGCAAAAATATTCATCAAAGTTCGATCCGAACTCAATTCAGGAGTTGGATATAAACATATTTCTATCACACCCAAAATCACGTCTAGAACTTTGTAGAAATTTTTCGCCATCTTGTTTGTTTACATTGAGCCAAACTAGGAGCAGAAGGACTTGGGTTTGTTTAAATTGGTCCAACTTTGGGGCACCATGATAGCGGCCAATCAGAGAGCGGCATACTTTTCCTGTAGTAAAAGGAATGAGATGATAGTTCTCTCCCATATACAGGTACTCTAGGAACGATTTGTTTTGACGAAATACTTCCTCTGTCGATGGCGATTCTTGAAATTTGGCAACACTGTTTTGCCTCCATTTAAACGTATGTAAAACATTCTATTCTTAGTGAGGCAGATTGCCTCACCTAATCGATACGCATTTTTACGAAGCAGCCCAAGACAGTGGTAACAAGAGAAAAAGAAGGGGGGGAGGGAAACAGGGCTAAAATACAATAACAAAACACCCAGGACGTTACGACTCAAAACTGAGTCATTTCCAGTCGGAATATTACAATAAAAATTAAACAATGTCGATAAAAAAAAGACCTAAGACCTACAATACCTACATGTTGGTGGCCAAGATCCGAGTAAAACACCGATCCTCACCTAATATATATAATATCGATATTTTTAATGGATTTAAATGGAGTCAAAACAGTGCGGTCAACTTGCAAAATTGCCTTTCACTGGGGAAAAAAACCACATTGGATCTAGAGTCCAGACTCTTGAAAACATCGACAAGAAGCAATACTCTTGATTTAGTCGGGTTTTGCTTGAATCAAAACGAAATCCGCTTAAATTAAGAGGCTTGGTTCTTGATTTAAGCTAGATTCTGATTGAATCAAGAGTACTTTTTCTTGTCGATGCTTTTAAGAGTCTGTACTCCAGATCGAATGTGTTTTTTTCTCCAGTGTAGTCCTCCGTCCATAATACTTGAGCCTCCTCAAGTAGGTAAATGCCTTTCACTATAATCTTTATACGACCGTATTCTATCGTGCTTATATGCTTAGAAAGAACGTCTTATGAGCCTTAAGACGCTGCGAAATTTCATTGGATAAAATACGAAATTTAAGAGGAATCTGTGGATATTTTTCCTGAGAATTGTATTCGTAGACAGGTCAAAATCATCCGAAAATTTCAGGAGAAAGTCTCCATGATTCTCCTCAAAAATAAAAATTGTTATCAAAGGGAATTTGGCAACTCTGGAATATTCAAGCGGCGTTTTCTCTTAGCACGGCAGTATTCGTAGTTGTCTCTTAATCAACTCCTTACCTTAGGGGGCAGTATATGTGGATTACATTTTGCCATAAGGAACCACTATCTCTGGTTTTTCCATACGGTGTTTCTAAAATAAGTCAGGAATAGTGCGGTTCCTCATTGCAAAATGTTACCCATTTGATGGGAGTTCACAAAGTTGAATTAATAAGTATACTCTCAACTCATCCGTTTTCAAAATACAGCTTAACCAGGGCCGGATTAAGGGGGTGGCCACATGGGCCGCGGCCCATGGCGGTAAAATTAGGGGGCGACAAATTTTGCATTTTTTTTAAATGCAGGTACAAAAAAATCGGATTCCGAAAAAAATTACAAACAAGAAAAGGTGACAAAATCTCTCATTTCCTGAAAGTGCATTAATTTCTAATTTTGTCGTATTTCGGTGATACAAAAGACTGCGCACCTTTAATTACTTGAGTTAAGAGAGAAACCAAACACGTAATTTGGCCTGGAGCGGCGTGGCGCAGAGAGAAATGATGACGAGAACTTGAGATGAAAAGGAGAAACCCTCGGCGCGGCGCGGCGCGGCGGTCGGCATGTAACACATATTAGCGCCTACAAGACTGCATGAATACTTCACGCATTGCGTCAAACGCAGCACGGTCAACAGCGGTCGGCGCGGCGTGAAACGCACAGCGCCTACAAGACTACGTGAATACTTCACGCATTGCGCCAAACACAGTGGGATCAACGCGGCACGACGGTGGAAGTTAAAATTATTAAACCACGTTTATGTTTGTTCTTTCTTAATTTTTTAGTTCATTTCTTACAAATGAAAGGCCTTGTCCACACAGAGATAGGTTTCCGGAACTGAACTTTCGCGCGAAGTTCCGTGAACTTTTGCTAGTAGTGCTGACAGGGCTCACGCAAAAAATGTATCCAACACGAGTGAACGCGTCTTATGCACCCTTCTCCCTTTAGCACGTTCACTTGATGGTTTTCATTGATGTTTCAAAATGAATGAGAGGAGGTCGGCAAAATACAGGCGGTCCATGGGCGGCAAGTAGGTAAATCCGGACATGAGCTTGACCCGTTTTTTTAAAACCTAATCTACGTCACTTTTATCTTAACTTTAGCAAAACCGCTCGCTTTTCGTTTCAGTACTACGTTTCAGGAGTATACGATTCAGCCGCTTGCAGAAACGACAAAAGATTGATCAATCACGCTGCTGTCATCGTTGGACAATACGACGGTAATTTTTTTTAAATTTCTATAGTTGTTACAGAATATAATTTATTTAAGTTCTTTCCCGGATGATTTTAACACATTTTCCTCCTTATCACTAGATTTGTCACTTACACAAAATGAGTTGGAACCAATATTGATCATATCGTAAGCGGGGAGCATCGTTTAAATTCATTTGAATAATCGCAGTTGGACTACATTTTTCAATGTACCTGCAATTTTTAGCCCTTCCGTTTAACCACTCATGTGTATAGAATTTTTTTTAAAAAAAAATAAATTCTAAATTTTAAAATTTCAGTTTTTTCGAAAAAAACCCAATTTTAAGTGGTCTAATGATTCAAAAATGAAGAATATTAAAAAATCTTCAACATTTCAGGAGTGTTTTAAGCCAAATCACGATTGATTATCTCAAGTAGGCGAGTTGATAGAGAGGTTTAAAAAAGGGGTAATTTTTGCACTTTAGAGAGGCTGGGGGGATAAGCAGAGGGGGTAAAAGTGAAGACTTTTTGGAAAACACTACTTTGGAAGTATATAATCGACGGTGAAAAATTCAGCTTTTTTCTAGTTTGTTCCACTAAAAGCCCTTATTTCCCTTCGTTGACTGGACCATAGGTAGACTGATAGTACGTACGTTGCGTCTAAACTGAGCCATATACTGTAGCTCCGAATTGAATGGAGACGTGCGAAAACTGCTAAGGTCAATTTCAGTCTTAGGTTTTTTTGAGTTCATAATACTTTTCAGAAGTGGTTGCAACCACGAAAATGGCGTTAAAACTCGTCTTTGGATTTTCTAAATCCCAAAACGAGTCCATTCATCATTATTATGGTTGTGTGAACTCTTTTATAGTATAATAAACTTTAAAAAAAAAAAAAAAAACTTAAGACCGGAAAAATGGACATTAGCAGTTTTCGCACGTTCCGATTCAATTGCAAAATGCCTTTCTATGTAAGGTAGTCTGACTGAAAAAATGTCGATTGGCAGGAAAACCTTTCACTAGACAAAGGCCAACGCTGAAAAAATGCGAGAATCATCACTTATTCTGATCACACACAAACCAAAACCCTTCCAGGTACATGACCACATGTGAGGACTTCCACCTCTCAATCTTTGGAATTCCATTCTTGTTGGCTGTTCAACAACATGTTGCCCTAAGAGAAAAATGTTAGGCCATATGAGCCGTAAGTACAAACTGCGTTTCCTATCGGTCGTGTTATTCGAGTCATGTAACCGACCGCTTTATCAAAATGTCACTGCGTCGTAAAGTTGGAAGTTGGTTTATATCTCGAGCAACTATTTTAACTCCCCGGAGATGAAATTGCATATCCTCTGAATTGAAGGAACTATGAGTGGGACCCATGATTTAGCGTCTCGTTGTCTAATCTACGCGCGAGTGAGTCTTTAAATCTTGTCATTCCTTCGCGTTTTTTGTCTCGAATATTGTTCGTGCAGAAACTAGTGATAAGTTATCTGAAACTCAATCTAGAGTATTTGTCGATTGTCGGGTCTTACCACACGGCTGGCCAGTGGTCATGCGATGAGTCCTTTAAAAAAAAGTTAAACAAGTATGAACATTATTTATAAATTATTTATAAATTCTTATCTGCTGCAGATGCTTGGATTGTCCGGTTCAGTGTAATCAGTGACTGGGGTTTACAGGTAATCAATTTTATAATATACATAATGCACTTATTAATAAACATATGAAATGATCCGAGGAATGAGGTGGCTGAATATTTTAGTTATATCGAGACAAGTCCAAGCAATGTAATCTGTAGTGGGGTGGCGTGAATTGCGATGTATCGATTGTTATGCCATTTAAACCTATGTCAGAGAATCGATTATATTATTAAGGTGTTCGCTGCAAACACCCTGTTTATCGATCCTTTTCCATCGGTTTAAATGGCATAACAATCGATACATCGCAATTCACGCTGACGCCACTGGTAATCTGAGGGCGCACTTGTTGATGCCGTGATTTTGGGTAATTTTCTGGGTAAAGTAAAGATGGCACATGGGCGTACTTCAATTCATCAAAGTTATAGATCGTTATTTCAGCTTTCAAATATGCCACTTTAAACCATTAAACCTCATTTCTTTCGTACACCCGATTTTTATTAAATGAAGGCTTCCCTTTAGTGCTGCATGTCCTTCTCAATTTGACGTTTTAAAGTGTACCGTGCATATGCTGCCGTGCTAAGGAGGAATGCCGTATGAGCCTTCAGGCGTTGCCAAATTTCCTTTGACAAATCACTGATATTCAAGAAAATGCGTGCATATTTTCCTTCGAATTTCTCAGATAATTTTGTTCGTACTTTGGTCTAAAAAGTCTGAAAATTTCAAGGAGAAATATTGATAATTTTCCTCAAAAATGAACACTTTATCAGAAGAAAGTTGGCAACTCTCGAATGCTCATACGGCGTTCTTCCTTAGCACGGCAGTATGGCACAACATGCAAACGGATACAGAACATGATAAGAGCAACCAAGACGGATTTTTTTAGGAGATCAGTGAACATTTCTAGATGGAATCAAGTCCGTGATGATTAGAGTGTCAGATCATGGAATTAATTCTATGACGACATCATCGTAGTCGACGTCATTACCAAAATGCTATAGTCTTGCATGGGCATGTCAAACATATGAAGTTAAAACAGCTGCTAAAAAGATGTTTGATTGGGCTCCTCCCAGGGGAGGAAAAGAGGGATGCTTAGTAAAAATGTGGTGAAAGTATCAACTTTCTGAAGGGTTTTGGAAGGGCAGGTAAAAGACTGAGACAATAAGGTGTCGCAAACCGCCAAAGAGTGCTGTGAAAGCGACTTTTGATGTAGATTTGTCATGATTTTATAAATTATATACTTTGATCGTTTGTTACAGGGTCATGTCCTAATCGCTAAAGGAAGATGCGGATTAGGTCTTCAAAGCTATGAAATAAACTCCCCATTCACAATAATAAAATGAAGAGTCGCCCGTAGAAGTTGAATGTTGATAAGTGTCATAAATCATCTCGAATTCATGAACTGTCTGGCTATGCATCGGTTTAGAATTCGCAGATCATCTTATTTACTCTGCTTGTGCCATAGGAGGGTTGATAGGAACCCTCCCGTAACTGAAAGGAAGTTTTTCAAATTCAAAAACCTAAGTCGCAGTTTTACCTATCGAAAAAAAAAACTTGACAGTACTTCTCACGTGAAAAGCTAGTCAAGTCTTCTTACTAACACGTCTTCTTCGTGATATTTTTACATGCTGTCATGACCAAAAATCGTGGTCTTTCAAGGCAAACTCTTATGGATATCGACAGTGAAATTGGTTGCGATTTGAATTATCCACCTTTTTTTTATGAGGAGACCGAACCGTCATTATGGCTTGAGACGTTTACAGAATATTCTTCACATGGAGAAGAAAAATTACCGAAGTTTTCAAGAAACGATGTTCAGTATTTTTCCAGGTAGAAAATGAAGTATGGCAGGAAGTCTGCAATGCTGCAAATCGAGATGTGCATCCCTGCAGTCTCATCATCCGTACGGGTTTTGTTTAGTGAGTTTTTCTGAATTTTGTCTCTTGTTACTTTTATTACTCTTTCAAGCTCAGCATTGGTCCGTGTTCAGATTATGATTTCTAATGTGACGATACGATAATATAACTGTGCACGCACGTAACGTGCTTATGAAATTTATAAATTTGATGTAATTTGTCTTAAATTCTTAAGGCTTGTTCCTTTATTTTTTATTAATTTCTTTATCCATTTTTTAAAATTTATTTTTATTCTTAATTTACACTTGCCTTCTCTATTTTTTAAGCATTCATCAACACATTTGAAGGTTTTGATGCGAATGTGAATGACAGAAACAAAAGAGAAGTGTTCGTTTCATAAGTCACAAAACTAGTTCCACGAATAGGTTAAGATTTCAGTGCACTTAGTTGTCACAAATATCCATTTTTTTCCCGTTCAAGCAATGTCAGCTTGGCTTTTTTTCTTTCCTAGTGTCACGTTTGGTATTCTTCTCATTAGAGCTCTCTATATGGCATGATTTTTCTCTATATATAGTCGTATTCTAAAATATGATATCGTTAAAGTGTAAAGTGTAATTCAGTTAACGTATACATTAACTAGTCAATGTGCAGAATAAAGGGCGCGGTTTTAGTTAAGGTATGAAATGACAGTTTTGGAGGATATGTACATATAGTAGTAGTTATAGTATGACCATGATAAAATGAAATAAATCAAAAGGAACTTTGTGCATGAGCTTTACTTGATTTCGTGGTTCCATTTAGATGAATGCCTCTTGAATGTTCCCTAGTACTACAGTGCTAAGGAAGGACGCCCTATGAGCCTTCAGACCAAATTCCGTCAAATTCCCGTTAATAAAACATACATTTCTCGGTAAGCTTATGAATATTTTTCTTCCAATTTTTCAGATCATTTTGTTGGCAATTTCCTCTAAGCTCCTGAAAATTTCAAGGAAAAAAGTCAATAAATTCACTCAAAAATGAGCATTTTATCGGAGGAAAGGCTACTCTCGAACTTTCATACGGCGTTTTTCCTCCGGACGGCAGCATAGCATAGATGCGTCAATAATTATTGAACTCTTTGCGAATTCGTGCATTTGCAGGAGGAGATAAAATAAAGCCTTCGTTTTGCAGAAAATACAGATACAATATTTTCAGTAAAGCGAATCGATGAGCGAGTTGTAAATTGTAATATTGAGTTTTTGACGGAAAAATCTTACTACCTCCTATTCTTGGAAAAACGTCTGCTAGTATATTAACCACGCAAATCACTATTGTTTCAGTCTAGAGGCGTTCCTTTTATATTGCGTGCTGATGTCAAACTAAATTTCAAGTAATTACTGGAAGTACCGGCCTTGATGTAAAGTTGAACATCATATTGCACCAAATTGTGCATTTGAAATCAAAGAATATCTATTTCTGAAACAGTAGACAACACTGATCGAACGGAAAAAATTGCTACTCATGCCAGAAACTAAAACACGCACCATGCAATTACGACAAATATGACCGCAAATGAAGAGTAAAATGGCAGACTTGATGTTAGAAAGGAAAGAATTCTATTATTTGCGCTGTGAAATTTTTGAAAATCTGACAAATGCAACACACGCAAAGGTCATTTCTCCTTCATGAATGTGAAATGCACCGTTGCCACGGTGTCGAATAATACGGAGGTCGGAAAGTTGAGTGCCGGATAATTGGGCTTCCACCGTACTACTACACAGGGAGAAAGCTTAATACAAAAGTTTGGTCACTGCGGGATGTAAAACACACAATAACCCAAGCTTTCGGTTGCTTCTTGGGAGTCACAGTCTCATCATTATTTTCTGCGCAAAACTCACTACAAACTGTACCAGAAATATCAACACAAAATTTGGATTGGTTTGTGTTTCACTTCCTCGATCAACCAAAAATAACACTAGAACACGATGTCCATTAGTGTGCGCTAAGTCATAAAAGTGCCACTAATGACACTCATGCTTATTTTTAACTAGGGCAACGTCGACATATACGGTCAACAAAAAATCCAGTATTCCCAATTTTGAAAGGCTGCTCCTAAAACTGTAAAAATAGTGAAAGTTTAATTATTTTTTTTTTCAATTTATTTATTTTTTCGTGAGGCCAGTATCCGACCATTTTGCACTGGTGTTGATGACGAGTTGGGGTTTTTCCTAGCTGAAGAAACCTACACTGCCGTGCTAAGGAAAAACGCCGTATGAACCTTCGGGCGTTGCCAAATTTTGATTGATGAAACACGAATACCCTGATAAACTCATGAATATTTTTCCTCCAATTTTTCAAATAATTTTATTCGGAATTTCACCTAAAGCTCCTATAAATTTCAAGGACAAATATCCACAGCTTTCCTAAAGAATAAACAATTTATCGAAAGAAATTTGGCAACTCTCGAATGTTCATACGGCGTTTTTCCTTAGCACGGCAGTACTTATTGAGGGTATGGCTTTTTGGAAGTTCCGTCGGTTATACCTTTCAGCTGCAATTGATTTCGTGAAATTCGAAAAAACGAAAAAATTCCATACAGGAAACACGTTACACCCTGAAATGAACGATCAACAGCGCCTCTGTACGCGCGTGCTAAAGACAGCAACTATTTCCTTTGTTTTATTGGTTGTATTTTTTCCTATTCAGGAGGAAGTGTGACGTGCTACGTTTTTTAAACCTCTAAAGTTTGACGCATATCATGTTCCTCCAAACTCAGACAATTCACTGTCATTCTATTTTCGCCCGAAATCGAAAGTGCCCGCAAATCCCCCCCCCCTCCCCCAACAGAAAAAAAATACTATGCCTAGAGACAGGGTTACGTGTTTCCTGTTGTACAACTCTCGAGCCTTTTTTATCTCTAAAGAGACATCGTTTCCAAGTTGTTGACTGAATTTGTATCTTATTCTCTTACGATCAGGAAATATGTAAATTTTTCGACAAAATTGGCAATCGTGCATACATCGATTTTTCATTTTATTTCTCTTTTTTATCTCCCCCATTTTTCGTACTTTCGATGCCGCGGGACATTTAGTTTTCTGCCAGTAGTGTTTGTTTTCCCTTGCCCAGAGTAAGTTAAGATGATAGAGATTCACTTTTCTCTTCTGGTTGTGAATGCGTTTCTTGTGGCACCCTTCCGAGGTAGTACCAAAAACATTTCAGTAACGTATAATTATAAAGGAGGGTAGTTCAGGAGGGAAGTTTATCTGTTTTATATCGTCAAAATTAATGTAGAGGCTTCAAGTAAAAAGTATTTATCGTAAATCCTATTTTCATTGATTTCTGGTGCGCTAAAAAACTTTGAAGATCCAGTAATAATATAAGTGCTATGCTCTAAATTTCATCCTTTCTACCTGGGACCTGGGTCCGTTTTTGTCTGTGCGTCAGATGCACGTGGCACGGTGGGTCGAGTCAATAGGAAAAGTCGAACAAAATTTGGAAACTTTAAACGCCTTCAACTCCGTTTACATAAAATTTTGAGGTTCTAAAAGTGGTTTCAGTGGTTACTTCGTGTAAGTTTCTTTAAGAAGCACCCCTTATAATTTAAAATGTGACGATTTTAACATTAAAATTTGCAGTTTTAGTACAAAATTTCATGTCCGACCTCTCTGATTGATTAGATTCACTGTGCGTGGGCTCCGACATTCAATTGCGTGTTGAGTGATTGACTTCAGGATAGTTGAATTTCATGTAGATTTTTCAGAATACCGGTCATTGCTAAAAACTACAAGATTAGTCGTGTTTGCTCTCACGAGCCTTGGGTCTTAACACCAGTGTATGGGGGTTACATTTGGATCGCATTCTGTAAAAAAGGAACCAGCACGATTACAGTGTTGTAAGAATGTTATTTCTTCATAATTTTAAAAAAAAATCCAGGATAGCAGATACTTTTTACTTTCCATCAAAAAATTGCTATTATTACTTTTTACTTTCCATCAAAAAATTGCTAATATTGAAGGAAAATGACTGTGAATTTCATTACTGTGCATATGAGGGGTTTGGAGGACAAGGTGCATAAGTGCAGCTTTTGAAGAAATTGAGTTATTGGTGATTTCAATTAGATCTAGTCTTAAAATGCATATTCTGTGAAAAATTCTCCCAAATTCCAATTTTTAAGCATCAAAATGTCAGACCGAACTTTCTCTCCGCCATAAGGATCCATGTCTTTTCGAAATTTCAAACACGTATTTCTCGAAATAGGAAAAATTGCACTTATGCACCTTGTCTCCAGGCCCTTCATATATTAAGTATTTTTATAAGGAAAGAAGAAGTGGCAACATTTTGAAAACACTGTGATCAAGCTGGTTTCTTTTCGCTAAATGGGATCCATTTGGTCCAATCGTGAAATTATAACGCTAAATATTTCAGTGTGTGAAGTGCGCGCTGAATATGTAGTTTGCCAAGGAAGGTAACTTCAGATGCTTAAATTTAAGTTACATTTCAGTTAAATTAAATTTAAGTTGGAAGAATTCATAAACGCGCGTGGTAATGTGTAAGATAATGAGCGGTCAGCAAGCAAACTAGAGTTAGCGTCTAAAGTACAGTTGCTTGAAATTTAGAAACGACAGATAGCAAAAAATTATACGACAAATCCTATAATTTTTAACAACAAATGTGCCATAGTATGTTTTCGCATCAAATTCCAACAAATTTAAGTCGTTACTCCCGACAAACAATTATATGCAGTACTTATTGCAGTGCCCCACATAATGATAACTTGTCTCTGCTGATAACGTGCCGTAAAATATTGAACCTGCT